TTAAGACCCTTAACTAGAGCAGTAGAAGTGAAAGAAGAATTTATGGCTTGGAGAAAGGTGTAAAATGTTAAGTGGATTCTAATGGTTGTTGTCTTAGTTCATGCTATAATAAAATACCTTAGACTGGGTAATTTAAACAACACAAATATACCACTCACAGTCTGAAAGCTGGGAAGTCCAAGATCAAGCTGCTGGCAGACTCAATTTCTGGCGAGGGCACATCCCTCATAGATGGCCTCCTATGTGACCTCACATGGAGGAAGGGCAAAAGGCTAACAAGCTTTCTCAGTCCTCTTTTATAAGGAATTATCTTTTATAAAAACACAAGAGGCCAAGGTCCTCATGACCTAATCACCTCCCGAAGATCCTACTCCTAATACCAATAGGTATTTGATTTGATTACTGGATTTGATTTCAACATATGAATTTCGGAAAATACAAACATTCAGACCATAGCAGTTGTAGAGGCTAAGAAAAAGAGTTTAAAATTACCTCTGGATTTTTGGTATGGCACCTGGATGGTGGTACACATCTATGATTCATTCCCCCAAATCCCTGCAGCAAAATGTGCTTTAAAATTCAGGATTTGACAGCCTGTAGTCTCAGCTACTTGGAAGGCTGACATGGAACGATCACTTGAGCCCAGGAGTTCAAGATCAGCCCGGGCAACATGATTTTTGTCTCATTAAAAAATCAGATTTTTTTGGATATTAGAAAGGTGATATGGTTTCCATACCCAATGTAAGAGTGTACCCCAGCAGGGCCTGGGGCAGTATTATGTAATCAAACAGCACTATTTCTGCAGCTGGACATAATCCACTAAGTTGCATACACAATCACAATAGCCTCCTGACAGTTCACTCAGGCTTTGCTCCAGTTGAGTTCAGGTTTTGCTAACAAATGAGTTAAATTTTGTTTTGCTTTGTTTTCAGAGGCTGATTTTGGAATTATAGATAAGAAATGGTACAATGTACTGCTATCTATAGATAGAATACAGAAAGTGAGCAGGTTGTTTGTTCATTTGTTTTTTGATGAGATGAAGGTTCTGGTTTGAACATATATAATCTCTGGTGATGAAGAAATGTTATAGATGTCCAAGAGACAATCATATAGAAAAGAAAATTAGTTTGGACAGTTTGAAACTGAAACAATTATAGGGAAAAGGTTTACTTGGGGGAATATTCTCTATTCAGTGCCAAAAATAAGAGCCCAACTCTGAGAATGACCCAAGGAAATGTCATATAATTGTCAGCAGTCTCTAATGACCTGAATTCAGAGTCCTACTTGTCTTTGCTTTTCAATAAGTGAATGTACTTTCGTCTCCTGCCACTGCTGGAATTGATTTGAATTCAGTTTTCCCCCTGAGTGTACATGAGTTGTGTTAAATTTTACCCAAATTACATAGTATGAATTATTTTGATACTAACTAGATGCATAATTGAACAGGTAATTGAAAATACCTTCCTATTCAATAGGATTTTATACCCATAAAGTATCCATCATTCCAAATGTATTTTTACACTTGATGGACTAGAGAACTGAATACATGTGAAGATGATTCAGGCACTGATCGTTTCCAAAATCCTAAATATGATAATATTTTCCTTAGAAGAAATATTTCACTCACCAAGAATGTAAAGGCAGGTTAAAATTGAAAGTGTCTACAGAAGGCTTAATTATCCAATCAGAGCTTCCAAGACTACATTCCTACAAATCATTTAGGGATCTATTTTAATCTCTCAATGTAGTCTTTTTGTGGAGAGGGGACGTGTAATTCCTATAATTTGTCTCTTATACTTGTTTCATAGTAAAAGAGAAAAGCATTAAATATTAACAGAATATAAACCAAATAATAAACTGGCTATGTTTTCTCTAATAAATTTTTTAGACTCCACCCAGGACTCTAACTCAGTCATAAAACTTTAAGAGTTTAGAATAGAGCTGGACAGAATGTTTCTCCCTCAAAATTTCACTTAATTCTTACCATCAAAATCCCCTCAGAAAAAAATATTTCTAGTTTTTCCTATTCCCAAATACACTACAGCATGATGAGAACTCATTCAACACAAAATATGTATAATGAACAAGGCTTCATATAGTTCTTAAGATTTTAAAGGCTTAATCTAGCACCAAGGTCCTGGAGCCTCAAGCCCTACAATACATGTTTAATTAGGGTTACAGTACAGTTTTTAAGAAATAATTTATTTTCTTTCATGTGAGTGGGGATGTGCCTGTGTGTGTGTGTGTGTATGTGTGTGTGCGTGTGCATGTATGACACAGAGAAAAAGAAAGCTGGTAGAAAAATCAGCCTTTAAAAAAACAAAAATTCAACAGAATAGTGCTATTTTCACATTGTAGGCTCCAGCACATTCGTGGTCATAAAGAGGTCTAATGTGTTTAAACCAATATTTTTAAAAATAAAATAATAAAGAACATCCAAGTTGTAAGGTTAAGCACTGTTTTATATTAATAAAACTTGTTTCATTTATATACACTCACACTGGAGTTTATGGAGTTGAGGCAGAGAAAAAATTAGTTATTGAGGATTGCAGTAAAAGAAAAAAAAGTTTAAAGAAACTTAGTGTTAAGGATGTGTGCTTGAAACCAAAAATCTGGAGTGTTGCAAACGGATGAAAGGCACTGGGTAGCTGCCTCATAAAATATATTTTAAGCCAATATAATAAAAAGATCAGAAGACTAAATAATGTTATCCACATTGACTTAAAAAATTAACTGTGGCTTGGAAATACCAAGAAGGAACTAAAAATCTCAATTGACATGGCATCGTCAATATGCATGCTATTTCACAATGAGAGGAGCATGATGCCTTCACTGGGTAGTCTCCATGAAGTCAGGCATCATTTGGACAAGTAGAAATGAGGGTAAATCAGAGCTGAAGAAAGAGCAATAGACTATTCTGTAATTACAAAGGCCTTACAAAGTATATGAAAGAAAAAAGATAAACATCTTATGATAAGTGAGGATGTGGGTGGTGAAAAGTAAGATACAGGAGTCATGAGTCAAGCCACTGGAATGATCATGCCATCTCTGGGTGAAATTAAGTTAGAATACCTCTCTCGGCTTCAATTTTTCACAAATGAATGGTTTCACTAGTGAATCTCCAAAGTGAGAAAGGAATCCCGAGAAGGCTAGGGCTGGAAGATATTCTTGATTGTTTTTAAGGCTTTGTTATCTTAATCTAGGAAAGTATTATTTTTCCTATTTAACAGATAGATTAAGTCATACCGTTACTATGGCTAATGAAAACATGTTACATTTCTCACTAGAGGTTAAGAGGAAAGATAGTCTGATAACATCTGCCCAGTAAGTAATGAAGATTAATATTCAAAATTCAGGGAACAACTCCTATATCTAATATTTAAACAGTATTTAGCACATTTATTTCTCTGTATGGAGACGAGATTAAGAGGTCAGGTGAGAGTCTTTCAAGAAATGTAGAAAATTCCTGGTTGAATTAATAATTATGTCCTGTTATGCTGTGGTTGGCTTTTAGATTTCCATATAATCTTAAAAAGAAGAAGAAGAAAAAACCCACTACATGTTGCATAAGGCATTTTAAGATAAACGTGCAACTTAAAATATATTTTTAAAATATGCAGAGATAGAAGAAAACAAATCTAGTGGAATTGTTATTACTATTAGAAACTCCTCTGTAAAAATGTTGGCTAAAGCAATACATAACGATTCTCGGTACAAACTGCTCGGAAAGTTTAGCATGCGCTAGACTTCAGATATTAAAAGTTAAATTTAAAAAAATCTGATGGCAGGGTGTAACTTTAACCTCATGGACTTTAGCCACAAACTCAAAGAAAAAATATATACAATGAAAGAAGCAACAGATTTTCCCACAAGCAGAGATTTTTCTAATTAAAATGCTGTCACTTTAATATTTTTTAGCTATAGAATTTGAGTGTAAATGTCTTCATTATGTACTGTAACTTCTCTAGCAAGTTATGTTAACTTAATAACGTTTTCAGAATCGGAAATATTGGTAACTCGATGGGATTCTTAAAACAGAAATAGTTTCTTTGATGAGTTGGAAAGAGAAGGAAATAAAAGTCTAAGGTAAGCGCCAGTTTCACCCTCAATCGTTAGGCTTCAGAAAAGCCTAATTAGGCAGGGAAAGGAATTTGGGCCTGGCACACCCAAGCTTAGACGTGGCAGGATCCTGAAACAATTTTTTTTTTGAACCTTTAAGTCATATGCCACAGGCAAACCATAACCGCGATATACAGGTCCTTAAGTCAACAGGTCCTCTAAAGAGATGGTGTGTGGTTGGTGCGTGGCAGTTGGATTTCCTCCCGCCACGGAAGAAAAGAACTCTTCTCCATTGGACAGGAAAGTGGGCCCAACTCTGGCTTGGAGAGCGCACCCGGAAAAGTGCAGAGTCGAAAGAGAGAGAGAGGGGTGTCTGCGTCCCGGCCACAGAGCCCTTTCCAAACCACTCGGAAACCATTTAAATGGCTCGGCGGCCACGGTTTGCTGCCTAGAACGTTTGGGGTCCCCGGCTGGGAAAGTTGCCTGGCAAAGCCATGCCCTTCGCCGTCGCGGGATGCCCTCTCGGGCAGAGAGGCTGGAGGAGACAGGCAACCTGTTAGCCGGAGTGGAAGCGCGCCCGCCTCCCGCCGGGCCCTCCCTCTCAGGGTCCCCACGCTGCGACCCTCCCAGGGGCAAGTCCGGGGCCACCAGGTCTTTGATCTCGGTCCAGCTCCTCTGGGGCCGCCCCATAAGGACTGGCGGGGCACCGTGGGCGAGAGGGTGTGACTGGGCTCCCCCCGGGGCGCCACCTGCCCCTTGGCCCGGGGAGCCCCTTTCGGGGTCTCTCCAGGGGCAACCGAAACACTGCTCTCGAGACCGACTCCAACCGGCCACCTGGACCGTAGCCCTGTCCCCAGCATGTGAACCCCCGCGGCTGTCCTCCCGCCTGCTCTAACGCAGCCCAGGGGTACCGCATCTCCCTCCGCCTGTCGCCGGCTTACCTGGCGGGTGGGCTGGGCAGGGCAGGGCAGGGCGGCGGGAAGCGGCGGCCGGGCGGGCGCTGGACGTGGGCTGGGCTCCAGGTGCAGGTGGCTGCCGCTGCGACTCCGGTTGCTGTCGCTACAGTTGCGGCTAAGTAGAGCTCCTCCTCCGCCGCCGCCTCCTGCCTTCCCGCTGGGCCTCCCGCGTTGCCTGGAGAGGCAGAACCGAGGCTCGGCTTCCTCTAGGAGTCTCCCAGGTGAGCTCCGGTCTGCGACGTCGGCAGGGGCGAGGCCCCGCTCCCGCGCCTGCGCGCCAGCCTCCCGCCCCGCCCCAGCACTACCTGAGCGCTTCAGGTGAGAACCGTTGACCGCGCGCGCGGGGTGGGGGCGCCGTCCGGGCCAAGCCTGGCTGTTGTGCGGCTTCTCTCTGCGCGGTCGGCGAGACTGCTGCTCCGCGCAAGTTGTGGCTCCCGGTCCGTCTACATTGGAGGAATCCTGCACTGACCTGGTGGCAGTGATCACCTTGTAGCCAGAACAGTCTGCTGGGTCCTTGGGGAAACAGAAGTTCTAGATTTCCCCCACACGCTTCCTCCCTTCCTCCTCGGTTCGCCAAAATGAAGGGGTGCGCTGCCTCCGAGGACCACTTCGGAAGGGCAGCAACTGCTGGCTCATGTGGTTTCCTCGGGCAGGGTTCAGCAGCTTCTGTCACCAGTTAGGTTTCGTGAGCTTCCTTCCCGTGTAGTCTTGATTTCATCACTTGACTCACTTCAGCGCAGCTAGTGGTTTCCGTTTCTGTACGCGGGTGCTCTGGTAGGGGCGCCTCACGTCCAAAGGAGGAGTCTCCTTCCAAAGAAGAGCCTTTGGTATTTGGCAGAGCCTCGCTAATTTGGGGCGCACCTCCCCTCCCTGGGATGCTCTCAGAAGGCAAACCAATTCCCAGAGGGAAAAACAGCCACAACAGAGAGAACCCTTGCTGTTCCTGTTTGGAAAAAGATTGGGATTTCCTGGAGAAGGCTTGCTTCTACTGTAGGTTCGTTTAAAAACTTCACATCTATTCTGGAAGGGGACAACGCAGACTCCAGGAAGATGGTGGGTTTTGCTGTTTTTAAGACCAAAAAAAAAATTGTTAAAACAGTATTTGTTCTGTTTATGACACAACTTTCTGTTTCAGCCTTCCTTCTGCTGCTGTAACAAACACTGACACTCCCAAAACCAGGGCTTAAAATGACCTTTGTACCTTTCCATGAACTCATTTCTTTGGCTCTATCCCAAAGATATGTAGGGATATAAATCGAAAACTAGCTAAAAACTTTTTGGTGGCATGTTTAATCATATGGTGGCAGGTTTTACTATGAAGTTTAGTTGTGGCCTTCCTCCTACATTTTGACATGCTCTTATGGTGCTTATTTACTGTTTTATTAGTGCTACGCGTGACCTAAAAATAAGGTTTAAAATACAGGTTAGTGTAGTATCAACAAGTGTATCTTTAGTACTTGACTAGTCTAAGACATTGGTTTTAGCATCCATAGTACTATTTTATACTATGACACCTGTGAGTTAGGTTTAAGACTTTAGTAAACTAGGTAGTTCTATGCTTGTTTTACATGTTGTGCTTATTTTGCAAGCACCAAGGAACCTTCATGTATTTGCAACATTTTAGTATCAGTACCTACAAGCAGTTGCCAAGCTCCCTTTCCCTCCAAAAACAAACAAAAAAATAGTTCAGGAGATACTTGTGTGTATTGATATACTAACTTGGTAGTGGTTTTCCTTAGGTCCAGGTCCAGAACTGAAAATACTAACTACTCAAATTCTCTTCTCCTTCTCCTTCTTCTTCTTCTTCGTTGTGCCACTTTGTCGTTTACCCCTAACTGGAGGTTAATGTCAGTCTTTGGAAAATTTGTAAGGTATCCTAAATGTATAACCAAGAAACCTGTATCCTTTTTCACACACCACCCATCTCTGAATGAAGCAGGAGTCAAAGATTATCAGAGTTTTGATGTCCCATCAAGCAAAGAGCAACACTTTTCACTGACAATCAGGACAGAGCAGATGGATATAAAATAGCAATCTGGAATCCAAAGACTGAGATGCATTGACAGCAAGACTAGTAACGTCAAATAACAACTGAAAAGAGAAGATAGGGCAGACCTATAAAAAGAGAGAGCCAACAAACAGGACCAAAATGTTGGATGAGGAGTGTAAAAAGAACAGAAGAAACATAAAAATGATCAGGAGTTACTAAAATTTGACTGTCAGTTTTACAATGGAGACGAACAATTTAAAGAAGGAAGCAGTTTTTCTGAGTGTGGCATTACTTGTGCACGTTGAGTGTCATATATATATATATGTAGAGAGAGAGAGAGAGAGAGAGAGAGATCTTGGGGATGAGACCCAAGTCTAAACACAAAATTCATTTATGTTTCATATACAGCTTATACACATAGCCTTAAGGTAATTTTATAAAACATTGTACATAGTTTGATGCACGAAACAAAGTTTGTGTAAAGTACTTATGTGTGGAATTTTCAACTTCTGGTGTCATGTTGGTGCTCAAAAAGTTTTGAATTTTGGAACATTTCAGATTTTGGATCTGTGGATTAGAGATGCTCCATCTGCACTATTTTACACAACATTACTTGTACTATTTCATAGCATTCTGAAAGCAAAGTCTTATTATTAATAAAAATTTTTCTATGTCACAATAAAATTAAAATGATGCCACAGGCCCAAGAAAAAAAATTATCATATTGAAATGTTTAATGCCCCAAATCTAATCACAGGCAGGTTTTTGAAAGTACCATCCTATTCAAAATTATGAAATAAATAATTTATTTCATAAACAGAAGTTAGCATTTCATCATAAAATAAAACCCAGGAACCTTAATGTAGACATGCTTCTCAGAAATAAGCTAATTTTAATAGCATATGTTTGACATATAATGACAGGTAAGATAGAAAATTGGGCAGATTTTACACAGGAAGGAAACAAACATTCTCTATCTCTCTCACACATACACACACTTATTCCATGCACACACACACGCAAACACACACACACACATGACTAGGCACAAAATGGTCATTTGTATGGATTTGAAATAATACTTACTCCTTAATACTTTCTGTTAACATTTAAATTAATGCCAAGATCAGCACCTGGCACTTAGTAGGTACTTAATAAATATGTGTTAAATGAACAAATTGACCCATCAAGTACCGTAAAAAAATACACCTAGTGTCTTGAGCAATTTACAGGTCTAAAGAATGGTTTTACCCAACAGTAAGGAGAAATAATCCAAGGTGGGTAAGAACACTAGACTGGTAATCTGAATTACAAAATTCTAAGAACAATAGATACCAGCTTTCACGTATCTACATTTCAAAAGACACTATGCAAAACACTTTACACTCCTACAAGTTACTTTATGTCTGGCTTAAATATTCTCTTCCACAAAACAAAATAGTGGTAGAAGATGATCTCCAGGCTTCTTTACATTCTGATTCAAATAAACTCCATGCCAAGAGAATTGGGCAAATAAATAAACAAACAAATAAAACCTTCTAGATATAGCAATAATAATTAATGGGACAACAAAGATGAAGAAACTGAAATTATTTAACTGAGATCAAAATTTTAATTCATAAACAATAGTTGTAATATATAATGTAATAAGTAAATGTGCAAAGTTACTAAGTCCAACTTTAAACTATTTCAGTTTATTAACTGTTTAATTGTTGGTTACACAACTTTGCTTTGAAACATACTCTAGAAAGAGTTTTGCCTCATGAGGGAACTAGAGTTTTTAGTGAGGATCTCAAAGTCAGACTGAGAGATTTGGCTCAAAGACTGAACAGATTGGAATAATTTCTTCTCAAAGCAGTAATAAGCATAGAAATGTTACTGATTCAAGCAGAGAATAGAGGTAGTATCACAGTGAAGAGCCACAAATATGTGGGTATTTTTAAAATAATGATGCAACATAATTCTACATTGTGTTTAAAATATTGCAAGAATTAAAACAGTGAAAATATAAATAGGTTATTTTAGTATGAACTTTTTTGGACATTGTTTTCTATGATCCTTCTGCCTGTAGAATCTCAGAACAATCATCTCAGATTTTCAAAGTGGTACACATACTATGAGGGGTTGACTTAGATTACAACAAAACTATGTCTTGCTAATCTTGTATTCTTAGTACTTGGCACATAGTAGGCACTCAATAAATATTTGATGAAATGTATTGAATAGAGTGCATTGTTTCAAGCTTTTAAGCATTAGCCTAAGAGCAAAAAGAAATGTCATGCTGAGTCAGAATAATATTCAATCTGACTGGCTCTAAATTCTGACAGTGGCACCAAAGAATATTTTGTGGGAAACCATGGTGATAGTCTTGCATGATGTTGACCTCAGTGATGCACTCGGGTATCCCTCACTGACTCCTTTCCTAAACTGATTTCTCTTTTTCTGTAATATGCTTCTTTAAATTGAAAAGAAATTAATATTCTTTACAGAAAAATCAGAAAATACACATAAATGCAAATAAATTAGCTTTGAAATACTCAGAATTCCTTATACCAAGATGAAATCAGTGCTATCAGACCCTTTCTATCTGTATCTTTCCAGATTTTTTTAATTGAAAAAATTAGAGGCGCGGCATGGAATGGGGAACAGAGAGGGATACAGAGACAGGTTTGTAAAATAAAAACTAGATCATTCTGGGGACTTGTTTTGTAGCCAAAGTTTTCTACTTAACATATAATTAAATGTCAATACATTTATTTTACAGTTATTTTAATGGCTGCCTGATATCCCTTTGTCAGGATTTATTTAATCTGTCACTTCTGTCACTTACTGTTGGACAATGAAGATTGCTTCCAAATTTTGCTATTGCAAGCAGTGCTATAATGGTCATACTCTTCATCTGTTGAAACATTTATGATGATTTTCTTGTAATTGACTTTTATTTTGTTTATTTAGTGAGATGGGGTCTCACCGTGTGGCCCAGGCTGCAATTGAACTCCTGAACTCAAGCAATCCTCCTGTTTTGGCCTCCCAAAGTGCTGGGATTACACGCATGAGCCACCAGGCCAGGGATATTTTTGTCTTTTGAGGCAGGGTCTTCTCCTGTTGCCCAGGCTGGATCACAGTGGTGCAATCATGGCTCACTGCAGCCTCAACCTCCCAGGCTCAAGTGATCCTCCCACCTCAGCCTCCTGAATAGCTGGGACTACAGGCATGTTACATCATGTCTGGCTTTTTTTTTTTTTTCTGGAGAGATGAGGTCTTACTGTGTTGCCCAGGCTGTTCTCGAGCTCCTAGACTCAAGCAATCATCCCTCTTCAGCCTCCTGTAGTGCTGGGCTTACAGGCAGGAGTCACCATGCCCAGCCCTGACTTTTATTAAGCCATTTTGTGTCAATTATCCAGATCCTAAACCATGACGATATCATTAGAGACATCATATCACAAAAACAAGAGGTAGAATACATATTAACAATTTACCACTTTCTATTGGTATGAAAAATAATAAGAATATTAATTCTAGCTACCAGACCTTCATACAAAGAATGTTCTTTTCAATGAAAACCTTATAATTTTAGAAATAGGAAAATAGAATACCCCACTTATTTTAAAAAACTCAGATCTCTTATTTTCCTCTGATCATACCACAGTCAGTTTCCCACCTATGAAAATCTTTGTATCTTCTAATATGATTTTCTTCCCCCTCTCCAAATCCCCTCCAGCCCAACTGAAGACCCTAGTCTCCCATGGAGCCTTGATATAGTTTGGCTGTGTCCCCACCCAAATCTCACCTTGAATTATAATAGTCCCCACATCTCAGAGACTGGACCAGGTGGAGATAACTGAATCATTTGGGGTGCTTTCCGTCATACTGCTCTTGTGGTAGTGAATAAGTCTCATGAGATCTGATGGTTTTATAAATGGGAGTTCCCCTGCACAAGCTCGTCTGACCTGCCACCATGTAAGACGTGACTTTGCTTCTCATTTGCCTTCTGCCGTGATTGTGAGGCCTCCCCAGCCATGTGGAACTGTGAGTCAAACCTCTTTCCTTTATAAGTTAGCCAATCTTGGGTAGGTCTTTATTAGCAGCGTAAGAACAAGACTAATACAAGCCTCCTGGATCAGTTCAAATCACCTTGATATTTTGTAATTCCAATGCATTGGCATAAAGTAAATTTCCTTCCTCCCTTGGCCCTCATCTCTCTCTTGACTCCAATAACACAAAGGGAGAGTTGCAGAGAGATGCTACCTGGGTTTGACGTAATTTGTTGCCAGGTAAGTTATAATAATTTGTTAAGGAATTCAAGCCTTTTAGCAAGTTAGGTTTGAGGTAACAGGTCAAAAGAAATAGCATTATTGTTATTAAATTAAAAAGAGATATAATTTTTATGCATGTTAGAAGGGGAATTTTGAAGGAAATTATACTTTTTCTGTATACTTACATATTTTACTTTTTATTTACCAGAAGAAAAGGCATTTGCTGCCCAAGGTAGAATCCCATCACCATAGTCCTTTCCTACATCTAATCACAAAATCAGAATGTGCCAATTCTCCATTCCCAAGTAAGTCAACAGACCCTGAGATCACATTCCCTTTCTCCTCTCTGCAAAACTTCAAGGACAAGAGTCCCTGACAGGCAGCTGACATTTGGGGTTGCATACAAAAGGTCAAGTCACTACAAGAGAAGGAAGTTTGTTTCTATTGGAAGAGTTACTGTATAACATATAAAAAGGGAGTGAGGATGGGAATATTGTAGTAGGGAAGGGGTTAAAGGGCTTAGAAAATGGTTTTTTTAAAGGTGGAAAGGGAAGAGTAGAAGGCAAAGAAAAAGTCATCCATGTGGGACATCTTCTGAACGCCCAAGGAGAATCTTAGGGGATACATTCCCCCCAAGATTTAAGGAAGTAACTTCACTCCTGAGAAGAATGTACAGGGAGGACAGAAGCTAAACCAGGAGCAACATCCAATTTCTTTGTCTCTCCTTCTCTTCCCACTGCAAACTCTGTACAGATTTGGCATAATTACCTGAACTTTCTCGTAAAAATCATAGCCTTCATGAAGATCCATTATGTATTTGATTCACAGAAAGTTGGTATTGAATTGTAAAACACGGCTATGAATTTCTCCCTCTCCAATAGGCATGTCATTTTGGAATGTGACTTGCTGCTCTTCTTATCAAGGGTAAAGTCCGTTTCTTCACCTTTTAATCTAGAGTAGCTATGCAACTTTCTTTGACCAATCAAATATGGTGAAAGTCATGTTGCATGACTTTCAGGTCTAAGTCTTAAAAGAGATTTTTCACTTTCTGCTTTCACTCCCTTGGAATGTTGCCCTGAGATCACCACACCATGAAGAAGTCTGGGGTGAAAGGCCATGTGGAGTGAGAGGCTCAGCTTCCCAGATGCTCTCACTGAGCACTGCCCCCAGCCACCTGCCAGCTCAATGCAACCTGGTGATGGACCCCAAGCAAATACCAGCGGAAGAATCACCTGGTCAACCCACAGAATCATGAGAAATATTAAATTGTTGTTGTCTTAAGCCAGTAAGTTTTGAGAGAGTGTTTTGACTGTTTCACCTAAGTTCGGTCTCTTAACATGAACATAAGCACTTTCTTTTTGCATTTGTACATTCTTTGTACTCTTCCTGTTCACACAGAGAAAACTTTTGAGATGCAAAAGCTCGAATGTATTGGAATTTTAGAAGTCTAAGCCTTGAAGGACTGTACAAAACCATGCCAAAAGCCATATATTTTGAAGAATATGTTCTCAGTTCTGAGCCAGTTTTCTATTTCCACCTCAAATCTTGATTATATTAGTGCAGACTGGAGAAAGGAGAAGAAAGTCGGGGGTAAGATGGTGGGTCAGAGGTGGATATTGACAATGCACCTGAGAAAAAGCCCTGTAGCCTCTCACCATGCTAGAATACCATATTGCACAACCTCATGGACCGCCATTTAGATAGAGTAAGATGTTTAGTAATGCATCTTGACCTTTGAAACCAGACTGGTGAGAGGGCTCACCAACGAAAGCGAAGCTAGGCTCATAGCCCCTACGATGGAGATTGGTAAGACCCCAGAGTTATTCCTTGCCCAATGTTAAGTAAGAACAGAAAACAATTCTAAAGAGGATCCTGAGGCAGACAGGCCTTAGGCAGTCCCACAGCCCTCATGTCCCAGGAAGATGCAGAGAGCCCCAAAGTGGTTTTTCAGTGCAGGTGAGAATGGTTTAGATCCACATGTTTTTGTAAATTAGTTTTTATTGGAAGAGAGCCAAACCCATACATTTACCTGTTGCCTATGACTGCTTTGACACTACAATAGCAGAGTTAGGTAGCTGTGACAGAGATCATATGGTACACAAAGCCTAAAACATTTACTATCTGGTCCTTTATTTTTAAAAAGTCCTTATATTAGATAAAACACAAAGAACTGGTAAAACTTAAGCCTTGTGTAATAATACAAAATACAAATAAACCATGTGGACCATAATGGAAAGGCCCATTGTCTTCAGCTGCTGACATTGGGACCAGGGTGTAGTGTCAGAGCATGAAAGCCTGATACCTGCGATGGCCTAATTTTCTTATACAAATGCATCCTACCACTCCCATCCTATATACCTTATGCTAGATAGGATCCATGGAGTTAGCTGCATCTCTAGTGAAACAGGAAAAGTCCCTGATTTTACTGAGATTTAGCTATTGTCACATGGTGTAACAGGGATTTAAGAGAAAAAATAACCTTAGGTATAGACATAGGAAAATAATGTTAGATTAAGTTTCTTATATACCTGGTTCTGTCTTCAGAAACTGGCATGCACTATAAAGCCTTCCATAGTGATAATTATGACAGAAAATTGATAAAAAGGAAATACCTGCTGAATGTTCTGCCTCAGTAGGTTTTCCCTTGGTCTTTTACCTTAGAAAACTGCATGATAGCATTTTTCTATCATTTTTCTATTATTTTGCCATTTCATGTAGGAAGCATGTTATTCACAACTTATGTATTACAAAATCTTTTTCTGATGATGATGCTTGTTAATTTTCCTCTCCTTCCTTTACTATAAGTTTTTCTATTCCCTGAGACAACTATTTCTCTCCCTTGCCCTAAGCCCCAAGGATACAAGAGGTGCATAGGAAAACATCTATGAAGTGTGTGGGAGGCAACAACAGGGCAGGGTTCCAGAGTTCTGTGGTTTATTGCACATAAAACACTGGAAAGTGCTTTGGATGATAAGGAAGTAGCTTGTTGTCCTTTGCAATAGCCTGACATTCTTACATTGAGAAAAATCTTACTCCCCACTTTGAGCTGGGATGTGGGAGCTGGGAGTTCATTTACTGAGTATTAACTCTGTGCCAGGAATTATTCCTACATTATCTCATTCAGTCTCCAGAAAACCCTACATAACAGGTAAGAAGACCTCAGTGACAAGCTCAAAGATGTATAGCTAAAGAGCCAAAATGTAAAAGCAGGTCTGCCAGACTCAAAAACCCATGCTCTGTAAACTACATCATAGAAGTTGTAAAATAATTTTACCTGGAATCCAAGGGTAAATAATTTGTCATCATTAGCTTGCCCTTTGGCATTCATAAACAATTTCTACTTTACCAGTTTGTGTTCCATTCATACAGGAATAACATGTGGAAGTATTAAGCAATAGAAGGCTTTGTTTTCATGTATAAATTTTACAACATTTTCAAATGTAATAAAGCCAAAATTGTTAATTTCACTTCACATAGAGATTCCTTCAAATATAAGATGCTATGAAACAGGGTCATACCAAAAAGCAAACACACTTAAATCTATAATCAAAACACTGAGGAACACAGGAAACTCTAGATAACTCAGAGGAAAAAGGGAGTACAAAATTGGGTTGACACAATGCTTTATTTAAGAATAAGAACATTGTTTGTTCATTTGGGTACTGTATAACTTTAAGTATAATGAGGTTTCTTTAAAAAATTGATTGTAACAATTTTGGTATAATTATA